AGAATTAATTTGATGGCCTGCTCCCAGTTGGCTTGTTAGCTCAATTGGTAGAGCGCTGCACTAGTATCGCAGAGGTCAGTGGTTCGAATCTCGTACAGGCCTGAATTTTTTTCAGGTCTGATTTTCACTGTTGCTTAAATAGTGCTTTACTGCGAAGGATCGTGCACATATACGTAGTTTTAATTGTTGATCGATATTTTTGTTTCCGTTTTCGTTTTTGTCTTTTCTTTTTTGTTTAAAAGGAATAACCAGTTGACTTAACCAGTCCATAACTTTTGAACTGTCGTAAAAATAGATAAATTCCAGGCTAAATTTAACTCCGATTTTAGAAGAAAATGGATCTCTACTTTTTCCACAGCAAGACCCATTTTCACAGGTTAAATTCATAGCGCTTTGACCCTTCGGATGTCTTAGTCCGCTCCATCATATGAAATTGAAACAATAAGAAAACCAAAATCAATCATGTCAATGTAAACAACTGCTAGTATAAAATAGAAAATATCTTGAACACCATAACATCATCATAAAGGTAGATTTTACCAAGGAAAAGTAATAATTTGATAAAAAAACAAAACAAAACAAGTGTTGAAACTGGTCCATCAACTCTTCGAGGCGCAGTCACCCGGCACTAGGCGACAGTAGAAAGAACGGCTGAGACACAAGTGAAGGATGGTAGGCCGTGGGAAGCCCTGGGTTACCGCCTTTAATTAGTCTTTTGGGGTTCTTTGGGAAAATCTGAAATATTTTGGTTCCTGTGGAAAACGAGGATCCACATGCGTTCCACTGAGAAAACGAATAAAAGCGATCAAGGTGTTCATGTAAACTGGTTCTCGATATGGAAGATTAATGGAAAGCGTGACGGTTAGAAATATTTATTTCACCCACTGTTGGTTTTTCATATATCAATAAATTGATAATAAATCAAATGAAGAACAGCACACCAAGCGGTGGAGGCCAGAAAAAGTAAACTAATGCTAAATAATAAATAAAGAGCTGTGAAATGTTAGTGAACATCAACGGTAAGGACGAATGGATGGATGGATGGATGGATGGGTGTATGGATAAATGAGTAGAATAATGACTTCATTAAAATTCTCTTTGGTGCATACTTAGCAAATACATATCGTATCGTCGCTATTGACAAGTTCGTTTAGCTCAGCACATGATAAAGTATACCACGGCCATCCCACGATTTCACTCTCTTTCGGGTTTACATAAGCGGGTTGAATGTGTCTAGCTTAAATGTTAAACAGCCGGCAGGAAGTTGACGCGTATAGTGTTTGTCACTTTGCCGAAGAAGTCATTGAATGTCGCACAATGTGAAGCCAATTTAATGAATAAAAAGCCTAATACGATAGTAGTGACAGATGTCTAAACATCTTTTGACGAACTTGAATAACTTATTTGTTGAGCTGCACTATCTTCGGGGAATGGAGACAATGGGTATTGAAATTAAATGCTGAGGGTACATATAACCCGGTGAGATACATACCGCCAACCAATTCAGGGTCCGTTCAACAAGGATTTGTGAGAAGGTTAGTGCGTCTGTTTGGTATGAATAGTAATGTAAAAGGCAGATATTGCGCTTTCATATGAATGTTGCAATTGCGAAGAAAAGAAAGAAGAAAAACATCCAGCCGATGAAATGATACTATTTCAGTGAGATGCAAGTAGACGAATAGTTGTTGTGGAAACTAGTGTCAATGGGATGCTTAAATACTTTTGATTTTAACTACAACTGGTTGCTTGAAAAATCTAAGTTGTTGATTGTAATACGCGGTATTGTTGTTGTAAAAAACGCGGTATGTTTTAGACTAAGTCCAAAGGAGTTTATTAATTGATGATGATATCGCACCCGGTCAATTATAATAACTAAAGATTCTCGTGCGAACCCTGGATAGTTTTGAATCATAGACGTATATCAGTTTGGATAGCTTTCCTTTATCAGCGCCATTTCAAAGAAGCACATATACATTCAAACGTATTAAGCCGGAAAGCGGGTCAACTTTGATACCAATACGCTTTTTTAAACGATCTGACTCTATACGTATAAACCGTAGTGTAAACCTAAGTAAATACAACAATAATTCACAGTAAAAAAGACGAGCCTCTATTGATCTAAGCCTTCCTGAAGCAGTGAAAACTACGTTCCATCAATACAGTGAACAGGGTAAAAAAAGGTACTTATACATCTCAAATCAACTGTCTGCTCAATCTACAACATTTCCGCCGCACGTTTACTCGAATGGGTGTTTTCCACTTACAAATATTGTGAACATCTGAATAAAACCACATTAGTTCCATCGCTTTTCTGGTATATCGCTAAGCAACCAAGTAAACAAAGGAAAAAAAAATATTCTTAATTAATTTCCAAACAAGGGATTAATCTGGTTCCTATTCAGGCGTATATTATTGCGGTTAAAATATTATTGGGTTGAAAGTGTGTTCTCCCGATATTTCCTATATAATGACCTGGGCAAGTTAAATTCGTTGACTATTACTCAAGTTTGAGTTTTTCGTTCAAATTTCGTTTATTTTTAGGTAAATATCCACACTATGTCGTTGTTGCGCCTAGTCATTCAGCTGTTGATTCTTGTACTGCTCCACGTTCCTACAACATTCGGTGAAGAAACTAAAACCGTAGTTGTTGACAAATGGTACGACGGGTTCAAGGGATTAATTACTCTGGACCTTACGGATGATGTTACCTCTGGATGGACCATGACTTTGACTTTTCCAGTTCCCACTCCGAATCTGGAAATTTGGCGAGCACAGATTGTTGACAACCAAGGCGATAAAGTATATAAAATGAGGAATATGCCATGGAATAGCAAAATGTCGAAAGGAACATTCAAGTTATATTTCATCGCCAAAAATTCTGACGTAACAAAAGATCCTCCCATTGGCACAGTGATATTTAGTCGCGGTGCACCAGTAACCAACCAACCACCCACTGCAAGCCCGAGTCCCCCTCCACCCCCCTCCACCAGTGACGAAACCACCCAGTCCATCTGCTATGCCAAGCACCTCTCCACCCACGCAACCGCCGAAAACCACTCCACCTCCTCCGTCAACACAATTGCCCTCTGGAAAGCCTGGAAAGTATGACTACAGCGAAGTACTGACACTGTCCATCTTG